GCACCTCCGAAAGGATGGCAGAGCGGCCCAAGGACCTCAAACGCGCTCGCTCCTCTCTGCTGTCCGAAAGAGTGCCAATTTGAGCCATAAGTCAGCTTTGCATTTTGATCCTTCCTGTTTTTCCCCCAAACTTTCTCTATCACACCTCGAAAATTGCAAACTAATTCCACCGCTAGCCGTGTTTTTGTGCCTTGGTTTCTGGGCGAAGTGAGGTCTTGGGAGTCTGCACCTGCCATCTGACATGCGCAACTGTCTGTGGCAGCTTGGCAACATTTGGGGTGCTTGCTCAGCGCTTAACTCGTTCCCGGAGAAAGTGTGCAACTTTTCTGTACGAAAAGCTTTCCACTTCAATTGTCAACCCAAAAGCTTGAGGTCCAGACCTCGGGCAGAAAGTGTTTGCTGAACATTGCGTGTTCGGTTAGGAAGCAAAGTGCGCCAGGAACTGCAGGAGTCAGAAACGCATGTCCCCATTGCATGCGAGAAATGGAAGGTGAGCAACAACAATTTTGCTGTTGTGACAGTCAGGATGCATGCCTATATCTTGAGCTGTGCATGTGTTTGACTAATGACGATGTCAAGCTAGGGTGGAAAATACCAACATACCATCATAGCTACCCTTCCCTGGCAGTCCCCGATGATTTCTCGTGATTGTACTTGGCCAAGTGCCCGAAGCTGTTGAGCTCCTTGTGCTGACACTTAGAGTCCGACTCAGTGCGTTCCGCAGAATGCACATCCTGGACGCGCTCGCAAATTAGAAAGACGAGTGACGCAAAGCATGTCCGCGCCTTGGGCCTCAAAATGCTGGGTTCCCCATAAATCCTCTTCAAGTATCACCCTTACCAAGAGAAACTCACCTTGAATCGCCAAAACTTGATATTCATAAACCACTGAAGGATACACTTCCAAACAAACACAGTGCGCAAGCAACTGTAGTCATCCCTGATAGTGCTTCCTGCCTGAAGGGAAGAAGAATCCTCGAAGCCCGGAAACGATGCAGTCAAACACCTGCCATGGAGAGCAGTTTGGCTGTACATACTTGGTTCATCCATGTGTTGGAAGGTGACATTAAAAACTCATCATGGCCTGGGCTGCTTCACTGCACCTGGACTGTCTGGACCACCTGCTGGAAGAGCGCGTGAACCAAACAAATAAAATAAAACCACAAGCGACAGAGCTTCCAATGTGCCTGAGGTGTCATCCTTGACGGCATCAGAAGTTGCGAGCGGCTCCTTGGTTTTCCTGGCTCCTGTCAGGAAGGACAGCATTTGATGAGGCTGTAACACATGGTGCCACGTAGGAATCTGATCACGCGAAACGCAAGTATACAATTTGCCAAGGCTTAAATTTGCATCAAATTGGACTGAAGTCCACTTGGAGTGCTTGCAAATCCACCTAGAAGTCTCCATCGCAAGCATCTATGAAGAAAAATCCGGTTGCATGAACTGACTTGGTGCCGTCCTTTGTGCACACGGCCTGGGCTCAACGGCTTCCTTGGTTAACCAAAAAACCAGCCCCATATCTTGACACTGCCAGGAGATGCATTGTCTATGTTTGTGCCAATACCTGTAGTGCATGCATTGGCACATTCAATCATCGAATCATATGCGTGTTTAAGTCATTACATACACCAAAAACATAATATGAATATGTGTATCACCACATAAGCTTCACTGAAGCACGCCATGACATATAGTATAATAACCCCTTACCCAAAATTGCTGTCAAAACAGGCAAGAGGATCACTTAGGCACCCCAAAATGGCTCACTTGGGCACCCCAAATCACTTGGGCACTCCAAGAGGCTTGTTTCCAATCAAAACTGGATCACTTACGCACCCCAAAACGCAACTTATTGGGGTAAAAGTGCATTTTTGGTGCTAAAAAAAGGATCACTGAGGCACCTCAAAATTCTTCAGTTGGGCACCCCAATTTGGGAATTAGTTCTATCAACACTTCTCACCTTCATGATGGGCGGGGGGGGGGCGGGTGCGGATGCTGGGGGTGGGGATCAGGGTATCTTCTTCAGGAAATCGACACATCACTTTAGGGTTTCTGCTGCACCTGTCACTTCTTCAGGGTATCTTCTTCAGGTAGTCAACACCTCACTTTAGGGTTTCTGTGTGCCTGTCACTTCTTCAGGTGGTCAACATATCACTTTAAAATTTCTGCTTAGGGTTTAGGGTTTAGAGTTTAGGGTTCAGGGTTCAGGGTTCAGGGTTTAGGGTTTCTGCTGCGCCTGTCACTTCTGCGGGTAACTTTAGGGTTTCTGCTGCGCCTGTCACTTCTGCAGGTAGTCAACACATCACTTTAGGGTTTCTGCTGCGCCTGTCACTTCTTCAGGTAGTCAACACATCACTTTAGGCTTTCTGTGCGCCTGTCACTTCTTCAGGTAGTCAACATATCACTTTAGGGTTTCTGCTGCGCCTACGACTTCTAGAAAAAACATCACTTTAGGGTTGTCTGCTGCGCCTGTCACTTCTGCAGGTAGTCAACACATCACTTTAGGGTTGTCTGCTGCACCTGTCACTTCTGCAGGTAGTCAACACATCACTTTAGGGTTTCTGCTGCGCCTGTCACTTCTGCAGATAGTCAACACATCACTTTAGGGTTTCTGCTGCGCCTGTCACTTCTTCAGGTAGGCGCCAAAGAAAGCAGCGCGTACGCAATTGCACGCTTAAAAAAAACTTGCGAATACGAATAATTTCCCCGTGGCCCAACATTGCAAGAGCCAATGGCTAATATTATCATCATGGGCGGGCAACTGCCGAAGGCCCGCTGAGACACACAAAGATCATGAATCACCATGATAGAATTAGACCTTAGATCCAAGAAAGATTACCCAAAAAAACGCCCGGATCACTCGCGCACCCCACCTGCGATCACTTGGGCACCCCACCGGCCAAAATGGACCGCGGATCACTTACGCACCCCAAATTCCGGATCACTTGCGCACCCAGATGCCCAAAACGCAGGAAAAAGGACATTTCGACCGCCGGCCCCTTGACCCGACAACCCCAAGAAACGGATCACTCGGGCACCTCACGGGGCGCTCAAGCGATCCAAAACGGGGTGCCTAAGCAAGCCGTTTTCGGGGTGCCTAAGCGAACCCGCGCCCCAAAATTGCTGTCAAAACACTAGCGGTATTGCCGAACCTATACAGGCGCGCAGGAGGCCTCGCGTGAACTACTCCTATGCAGCCTGAAGCAAAGGTTCAGTGCCTGACAACATATACAAAATACATGTGTATATATTGTAGTATAGATATGCACAGCATACATACGTGTGCATGTATATCTATATATAGGCGTGAATGCAATGCCATTTGTGTTCATGCTCCGGTGTATAGATTCATTCAGTGTCGAAAATTATAAATACACATTTAGTTTGCATGTATGTGATGTACTGTTCGATGTCATGCAGTATGGACGTGACCATGAAATGTTTGTGGCATGAAAGGTATCATGTGTCAATTTCATTCGTTCGTTCATCCGTTCGTTCTTGCGTTCGTTCCTTCGTTCGTTCCTTCATTCATTCAGTCATTCATTCGATCATTCATGCATTCACTCACTCACTCACTCACTCACTCGCTCACTCACTCACTCACTCACGCATCCATCCATCCATCCATCCATCCATCCATCCATCCATCCATCCATCCATCCATCCATCCATCCATCCATCCATCCATCCATCCATCCATCCATCCATCCATCCATCCATCCATCCATCCATCCATCCATCCATCCATCTCACGCACTCACTGATACAGATTTGCATACTCTCGTAAAAATGGTGGCCGATAGGATCAGAAAAATATCCTTCTATGCCGCGAGGCGGTTCAGCATCCTTCTCTGTATCGCCAATGGCTGAGGCATGCTGTGCCTGTGCACGATCCAACTCAGTTTGTCATGAGCTGTCACCAAGCATCCACGCATCTTCAAATCGTTTGGCTCCATGTTTGGCCTCTGGTTGGAAGGATCGAAGCTCTTCACTTCCGTGAGCATGTCGGCAGCGGCTGCCCTGAGTCGTGCTTTCTGCAACAGCTGCATCTACCAAATGCAAGTCGCTCTCAGTCAAAACTGCATCATAGAGCCCGGGCCTTTTTGCAATGACCGCGCATGAAGAAGTTGCAAAGCCTTTCTGAGTCGCTCCAAGCAACAAGGCAAATGCAACGAAAATGAAGGTGCAATCTGCCCAAGGTAAAACCAGTGAGTGCACGAAACATCAGCTCTGACCTACCAACGCTGTCCCCTGAAAGCTCACTCATTGACACTGACATATCAAAATATTGATGCGGAAAAGCGGCTGCGTTTTATACCTTGGCAAGTTCTTGCAAAAGCTCCATTCATGCAATGTGGGTAAGTCTTGCCACAGTGTCGAATGCAAACATTCTGCAACTTGACACACTTGCGACAAGTTGGTGACTCTGCAAATTCGCCTTCCGGCCTGACAAACTTGCATGGGCCCAAGTTGCACGCTGTGTGTGACGCGAAGTTCCTAACTCAGGAGCGTTGAGCCCGGCAGGCAAGTGCTTGCTGCCAAATAATGTTTGCCAGGAGTCGCTTTCGCCATGTGCGAACTGGCAGTTGGAATCTTTGCACTCCCCGCGAGCAAAGGCTCGACACATGGCCTGCGGAAAATTTCAAGGCACGCGGCTGCGAGTGCCTCTTGTGGTAGGATTGTGCCAACAGTAGCAGGCACTGACGCTGCCACGGCGCGGTCTTCGTCAAATCTGGTGGAGCGCGCAGCTCTTCCAGAGAGTGGGCAAAGCGGCATGAAGCGTCATGACAAGAACCTGAGAAAATTGAAATGAGCCTTGGTGTCGCAATGCTGCCCTCTATCTGAGCTCGGCACCCCGAGAAAACCTCACCAAGGTAATGAAAAGGCAACGACGCATCTTCAAACTGCAGAAGAGTCGCAGCATTCATTCAACCAAGGCACATGGCGCACAACTTGGTCTTGCTCAATTGCGCCACCACCAAGTGGTTCAGCGAGCCTCCATCAAGATCCATGGTGGCTCTCGTCCTTGCAAACCAAAGGTCTCAAAATGCACGCGCAATTGTCTTTTCTATGCTGTCAAGCAACATGCTCGGGGAAGACCGACAATGCGCCGCACTTAGCACTTGAGCCGCAATACTTGCAATTGTCAAGCAGTTCGAACATTGCAGAGCTACCAAGCATTTCAATTCTTTGGCACGAGCATGCACCAAAATACAAAGGTGACAGAAGTGAGAAAAAGTATATTATGTGTCTCAAAGCCCTTATCCATGCACAAAATGCCACCAACATGTAGAGAGCAAATTGGAGTCTCTTTACATTTGATGCTTCGCTTTCACTGAAAATACGTCGGCATCTCAGGATGGAAGGGCGTAACTCTGCAGCGCCGAGTAAGCAGATGTATTCGACACCGAGGCGTCCACCTGAACCTAGGGCAATGTACAACCAAACAATGGCTAGCCTACGAATGATGCCTTGCACGACATGAGTCATCTGCCAAGTTGCACTCCTCAACAAATGCAGCCACTTTGCCCATTGACCAAACATCAGCCTGCCGGGGGGCCGGGTAAAACCGCCTGTTCTGGCATTCTAGCCAGCCTTGTAGGCATTGAATTCATCGCCAGTATCAATTTCAGGTGCCTGCACAATCTGACTGGGGGAATTGAAAGAAAAGAATGTCATGCACAGGCAAAGGCGTAAACTCAAGTTGTCAACTCTGGTGTCAAGCAAGGGCATGCTCACACATTAAGGGCGCGCCCGGTAACCAGGAGTTCCCATTATGCCACAAAGGCAACCAGATGCGCCGATCCGCGTGGTCGTCCCGAAATCACAAAGCTTGCCGCGGACAGCCTGATCAATGCACTTCCTTGAGGCCTCTGCATCTCAATGTTTTCATGATTCGACATTCGAATCATCACTGGCAAAGCGAACTGCTCAGTGCATTCAGGGCGCACTGCTCAAATCTTCAACCAATATGTTGTGAGGTTTCAGGTCTAAATGAGCAAACCACTCTCCATGCATGTAGATCAAAGCTTCCACAATGTCGCGCAATACTGTTAGCACCTGTTGACATTCACCAGATATGCGCACATAATCACGTAAAGCTCCTCTGGGAAAGTATTCTAAAAGCATGTCAAGTGCATCATGTGATTCGCATACTCCCAAAAGCTTCAGAATGTGAGGATGTTGCAGTCGCATAAGGCATCGAACTTCGTTAACGTGCATCCTGTACGGTTGCGATGAGTGTTCTCTGGAAATTCTCTTCACTGCAACTTTCCTCCTGCCCGGAATCAAAGCAGCCAAATGGACGTTGCAGTTGTCTGTCTCGGCCAAAACTCCTCCAACCACATATGAGGCTGGCTGCACCGACAGTTGGTGAAGCGTGATCTGGTCAAGAGTTTCAGGTCCGAAGCCAGGTCCGTAGCTGAGGTCGTCTTTGTCCCATGGGCCCTTCGTGCAAGCATGACCTGCTGAGGGCTGAAAAACATGCTGACCGTTCACCTGAGGAGCAGTGATTTCGCCAACATCACCAGCTGGGTCGACAATTTGCAAAGCGAGCGATGATGCTTGCCATCTTGTCGGTTTTTGGGCTTCCTCTCGAGTGTCTACAAAAGATGCCTTGCTTGCAGTTTGTTTGCAGTCTTCAGCATACTTTGACGGAACCGACCCTCCGCAGCCCATTCCCAGGCCATGGCATTTGCAAGTCAATTCAGCATTGCTGTGTTTGTGAACCAGTGCACGTGTGATGCAATAAGACCACCAAGAAGGCCGCCAAGCCACATGTCATGTGTCCTTCCCCAACTTCAACACACTTGCGCATGCAGTTGCGTCATGGTTGGCGTGAAGCTCCTATAGTGCAACCTGTGTGCCGATGCAAATGAACAAGTGCAAGCACTGAAACTGATGTGCATCGTGTGAGCACATCCAATGAGAAAGGGTTTGGAACAGAGTCCCGGGCAGAGCCAAACCAGCCTATACTCACCAACAAGTACAAGAAGATTTTATCCCCCTAGTCTGAAAAGCGCGGCGGCTCTCAGCGGGCAACTACCAATGAACCAATAAACGCTTGCACAGAGAACTATCACGAACTATTTACACAAACGCTACCAAGTATGGTGGAACTATTTGCAAAGCATGCTCAAGTAGGGAGACAAAGCAGATAAAAATATCCGCAAAGAATCATCAGTCTTCATTCAGCTCACTGGACTCACCAAGTCGATACCGCATGCCAGAAAAACCACAACCTGGAAGCCAAATCCTGTTTTGCGCCCATAATTGGATTTCCGCCAGTTCTGCATCCAGTGTAGGATGTTGTTGCCTGGCGACTGTACATGTTCATGCGTGAGGGAGTCAGTGTCATGAAAAGCCCGCTCATCATCTGCTTGATCAAGTCGATGTGAAACATCTGGGTCTCGACCCAGTGCCAACAAAAAAAGGATGAGGGTTCTGACATGGTCGATTTCTTATTAAACCCACTACTAAAAAGATATGGAAGGTTTCTTTGGATTGGCCCTTTCCACCCCCAAAGAAATAACAAACTTAGTTCGTATGGTCCATCAACCCAACCAATCTCAACTCCAAATTTCAAAATTCAAGTTTCCACGACGCCAAATCAAATGGAGATTCAAAAATTGACAAACTTGACAGTTAGAATCTTGATCACTGCTTCAAGCCTAAGGGAACATGCAGACAAAAGGTGCGCTTGCTCTTTTTCTTTATAAGGCGTTGCTTGGAAGTCAAGGCTTGGAGGTGCAGGGAGAAAGACAATGCGTGTCCTTTCCCCATGTCTGCACCCCCCTGCGGAGCCTTCTCAAATGCCCCGTGGTTAACAAAGCGTGTTCGACCAGGCGCCAGGTCTGTTACCTGTAAGGCGTGAAACAATCGAAGGCATTGGTTGCTGCCAGATGCCGTGCGGGCATCCGGGCTGGCGCACAGTGCGGCACACGGCGCAAGCCTGAAACCTGAACCATTTGCGCTTGTAGGCCCACGCGGCTACCAGTTGCACAAGAATGTGCAAAGCCCACGCTGTGGTAAACAGCTTATTCACTCCAGCTTTGGACATAAGCGCAAGCTGGGCCAAGGTTTTGAACGCCGAGAGGAAGGTCAGCGGCCTGCTTCTCGCCGGGGCACTGGCGGGGTTTTCAGTCAATCCTCCACTCAATCCTGCGCCCAGCCCAGAATTGCTCCCTCTCAATCCTGTTGTTAGCGCAGGATTGCTCCACTCAATCCTTTTGTTAGCCCAGGATTGCCCCCCTCAATTCTGTTGTTAGCGCAGGATTGCTCCACTCAATCCTGCGCCCAATACAGGATTGCCTTGGTGTCTCCCTGAAAACTCTGGGAGAGGCCTGTTGAATAGCAGCTATCTCCCAGACTCGCCGCCCGGCTTCCCGGCGTCGAATTTGGGAAGTAAGGCAAATGGGGAAGATCAAGCTGTTTCCTACGACAGAGTATACCAGTGCCCCAGGTGCCATGCACGGGCATCTTCCTCGGACCATCAAAATCCGGCAAGACCGTGGCGCTGATCAGCATGATTCTGGAGCAATATCGCGGAGTCTTTGAGAAAATCTACATCTTCAGCCCCAGCGTAAACATCGACAAGAGCTGGATCCCCGTCAAGAAGTACATCGAGGAGGACTTGGGGGTGAACACGGAGCGCGAGCAGGCCTACTACGACGAGTGGGACGAGGCGGCGCTGCGGGGCATCATCCAGAGGCAGCGCAAGATCACCGAGACGTCCAAGAAGTTGGAGATGAAGAAACTGTACCAGGTGCTGATTATCCTGGACGACTACGCAGATAGCCCGCAGCTCCACAAGCCTCACGGCGCCCTTGACACGCTCTTCATCCAAGGCCGGCACATGCAAATCAGCACCTGGGTGAGCTCCCAGAAGCTGAGGCTCATCAGCGCAGCGGTGCGGGTGAACATGCAATTCCTCTGCTGCTGGAGGTTGCGCAACCAGCACGAGCTGGACGCCGTCATCGAAGAGCTCAGCGCCCTGCTGCCGAAGGACAAGCTGCGCAGGATCTACGAGCAGGCGACCCGGGAGCCCAAAAGCGTCTACTATCGAAACCCAAAAGCCAAATGTTCTACATGCGCTTTGAAGAGCGTTTCGCACTGGAAAAAGATGCCGATGGGAGCGGCGCTCAGCTTCCTGGGCCAGAAGCTCTTCGCCAGCTCCACTCTGATCAACGCGAGGTGCGAGCATCTCCTGCTGCACCTCCGTCGCAGCCGTCCAGTCGCCCATCGTTCGCCGGACGGGTGGCTCAACGATCTACGTGGACAGCCGCGGCCGGCTTGGACAGCGACTTTGAGGTCGACCTGGGAGAGTCCCTGCACCTGCAGAGCGACGCCTGGCAAGATCAGAATCGCGGACAGCTTCCTCTCGACAGACCGGGGCCGCTACCTCTACTGGGTCGACGCCACGCTTGGGACTCTGAACTGGGCCGGCGCCTGGATCAGCTCCAACTTCGCTACTGCCACCTACAGCGAGACCACGAACAGCCTGAGCGTAGCCTACGGCGGCAAGCGCCTCATCCTGAACGACCTGGAGCTGCAGCAGCGCTGTGGACTACCCTGCTGCGCCGCCCGCCTCTCCGACCAAGTGGACCACATGCAGTTTATCAGGATGATGGCATACAGCGAGGTCTACCTGCGCTGCGCCCAGCTGGCCAAACGCCAGCCGCGTGTTGGGCAATCTGGGGGACGACATCCTGTCCAACATAACGCTGAAAAGCGGCGTGGGCACCATTGTGGAGACCGGCTCCGATGACGGGCGCTTCATGGCTGTGAGGGGCCCCATCACCCTGAGACACATGCGCTTCCGGCTGACCGATCTGGAAGGGCAAGTCGTCCGACTGAGGGGCTCGTCCTTGTCGTTCGTGCTGTTTTTGGATCACGTCCAATCCCCCGAAGGTCGTTTAAAAAAATATTTCCTATTAAAAACCCGATGAAGCAAGCGCAACCGGCGCCAAGGCCAAGAGGCAGGCCCCCGGGCAGCAAGAACAAGCCCAAGCCGCCTGTGCTGTCCCTGCCGAAGAGCAAAAAAATGATCCCCGACCTGCCCACAAGCCAGCATACAAAATCGACTCCCCCTTCCGGCCCAAGAGGGTGAGATTTCCCAGAGCAGCGCCGCCCAAGGCAAAGCCCAAGGCAAGCGCGCTCCCCCCGCCCAAGCCCAAGGCAGCAGCCAAGACAGCAGCCATGCCCAAGGCAGGACCCAAGGCAGCATCCAAGGCAGCAACCTTGACCAAGAAAGAGGCAGCACCCAAGGCAGCACCCAAGCCCAAGGCAACACCCAAGCCCAAGCCTGCCCCCATGGCAGCGCCCGAGCCCGAGGCACAGTTAGAGAGCCCGACAAGGTACAAGCAGAGCCCGAGGTACAGAGGAGGTACACAGCAAGGTACGGCCCGAGCCCGAAGAAGCGCCTCGGCCAAGCGAGCGCGCCACGCGCGTGCTGGAGAGGCAGTTGGCCTACGACCGGCTGACGGCGGGCGCTAGCGTACTAGTATGAAAAGCCCTCCGAACCCGCAACGAGCCGCAGATGCTTTGGTGGTTCTGCAAGACCTACCCCAGTTACGACCTGCAGCCTCTGCTGCTTCAACAACTGGCTGGGAGAGCGCAGGCTGGCCCAGGAGGGGCAGCGGCACCTGGACGACGTGAGCCGGCTGACGGAGGCAGTGCACCGCCAGGTACCCCAGCTGCGCTACGCGCGCGCCGAGCGCCGGGGCGTTGAACGCGCAGCGGACGAAGTTGCCGCGCAGTAACGGATAAAAGAGATGAAGGGGCTTCGGTCCCACGGCTTCAACCAGCGCCCGCGCTTCGAGCAGGTTGTGGGCTACATTGAGCGGGGGAGCCCTTGCCCCTAGACCAGCCGGACCGCAAGGCCACCACGTTCGTCACGAGTCACTTCTACCTGGACGACTTTGCGCAGTCCAGCGAGGACCCCAACCCGCAGCCTCTGCAGCACACGCCTGCGGGCAATTCCCGAGGAAGGCTTCCGCACTCCCGCAGAGGGCACAGACGAGGACTTGGCCCGGATGCGCCAAGGCCACGGAGGAAACCGCTTCGTCGAGGACGACCTTGCTGGAGACCTCAAGGCCGACGCCCTGGTAAACAACGGTCAGGGCCCGCCCTCCATCACGGGCCGTTTGCGCAGCGCGGCCGACGGAGCGCAGGCAGCAGCGGACCTTGTGGGCGCAGGAGCAGCAGGGCTCGCGGCGGCGCAGGCCTTCCGCTCCCAGCTCCCCCAGGACGCAGCCGAGTACGTGCGCCTAAATGCGATGCCCCGCCCAGGGCCGCAGCCACCACCGCAGATCATCGGTCGACCCGATGACGTAGAGCGCCTTCTGGACAAGGCGGGAGCGCACGCAGAAGGTGGAGCGTGGCGCAGCGCAGGCCATCGAGGAGACGGCAGCAGTGGCTGCGGAGGAGAGAGTCGCCGTTGCCGTCGAGGGCGTGGGCGGGGCCTTCGGGTACCTGGAGGGCTGGCCGAAGGAGCGGCAGCCCTTGCACCCACCGCGGGCGAGGTTGCTGGAACGCTGGCTGCCACGGCAGAAGTCGACGCAGCGGCAACGACAGGGTTGGCCGTGGCCTCGCAGGCGGCGCAGCCTACGGTCTCGCGCGCGGCACGGGCTGGGTGCTGGAGAACACACTCTTCCGGCCTCAGCAGGGCAGCGAGGACG